TGAGCTCAGTTGGGAAAAGATGAGAGGTAAGGACAATAGGCTTGGGCGGAGTCCTGCTGTTTTAGCTTCCTGAGCCAGGTTTTCAGGAACTTGGCTGAATAACCAGCACTTGGGAGAGATTCAGGGAAGATGGCTTTTTTGTCTGTAGAACAAAGAACTGTGAAGAAGCTAAGATATTTTTAGTTAATCCTTTGGAGAAAGACTTGACCTTATAACTTTTACAGTCTCGGCTTTAGGGGGTTCTAATATTTCTTTGTGGATAATAAGGGCTCATGTCTGCATTTAATTATAAACATAACCAAATACTAAGATTAAAAGCAATTTGCCATGACTGCCAGTGGCCTCATTTGTTCCTGAGAGCTTGCGGCCTGCGACACTCGGGCCCAGTGGGCCTCGAACTTCTGCAGTGGGTCTGCAACAGTCCATCTTTGCTCTGCAGTTCCCGTGGCATTTTTCAGTGGTATGTCTGCTCACCCACTTGGTCTTGCTATTTGGTTTCGCCTAAGTTGTCGGCTCAGGGTCGCTAAACCTGGCAGATTCAAAAGAACATGATTTCTTACTTTTGCTACAAATTCCACTTCCTATTAGCCTTCAAACCTTGTAAATATTTTTATCTCTGTGGTTCTGAGTTTTGTAGCTCTGTCCTTAATCTGCTTTGCCTGGTATTCTGTTGTATTGCTGAGGTCAAACTTCACTGCACCTCCACCCTAGCCCCCACCTCCTCTGCCTATATTGTTCTGTATTTTTCCTGTTGGTCTTTCTTTCAAGAAGTATCTTCTCTTCTTTTAGCTCTTCTGTGCTGGTCTGGTTGTCCTTTCAAGTGGAAATTTCCCATCTCAGGATTCTACCTATGGTCTTATATAATGCAGAGGCACCACAGGCAGCCTCCTTCACTTGACATGTTGTAGCCCCATTTTAGATATTCCAATCAGTTATAGGCAGAAGACAGACTTACAGTCTTTCTATGGTGATATTTCTGGCAATTCCTTTCTCTCCCCCTTCAAGTGTCTATTTTTAATGGTATCCCAGGGAAACCAAGATTCAAAAGACAGCCAAGCATCTTACCATTATTTTCCCCCTTTTCCTGACTCCAAACATGTGTCAATCCCTGTATCCCAGAGCCCTGTTGTTCCAAAGTTGTGCATACATCGTTATTTACCTCTGTCCCACTTAGGCCATGCAATCCTGCCTAATTGTTTTCCCATCCAAATTGTTTTTCATTCCTCTCCCACTTCTTGTGAATTGCCCCTCTCCTTAGCACCCAAACTATCCTGTGTCTATTACCTACCCTGTGCTCCCCACTCCCCACATCACGGTAACCAACACAGAACACCACCACCCCATTTAGTATGGGTTCTTTTGCTTAGTTTAATACTACTGGTCCTATGCAGGATTTCTCCTTTTGTGACTGACTAATTTCATTCAAGATAAAGTCCTCAATGTCCCTTCTTTTTGATGAAGAATGTGATGCCATTCCTTTTCAATTTGTCATTCCAGGCATAATAAACCATGTGATTGTCAGATTCAAAATGGCCAATACCAGTCCATTTCAACTTACTAATGCCTATGATATTGATGTTTATGTATTCCATTTCATAAACTCCATGTTCTGATAATTAATGGATGTGTACAGCTGTTTCTCTTCATTGTGAGTTGTGCCCCATCAGCAAATGAAGGTTCCGAGGTCTTTATTCCATTTATGTAATCATGGTCAACTCTACTTTAAGGAGGCAGCTCTTCCCCAGTTGCATTTTGAGAGCCTTCTCACCTGAAGGGCTCTTCTTCTGGGACTCTGTCTGACAACATTCTTGTGCTTTCTTTGTTTCAATATTTTGGTGCTGACAGCGTTACATTGTTCTTCATAACGTTTTCAGTGACTAAATATTCAGATGTAGTTGGTCATCAGGATAGACATTCCCAATTTGTTTGTATGACACCCATTCCTGAACATAAATATTGAAAAACAAATATCTGTCCTTCTTGCCTTATTTTATAGCTCATATACACACTGTTTAAATGACTCCTCATGAATATCTGCATATTCTGCCTCATTCTGTCCCCTTTATGATCCAGAATTAGTAGAGTACCACTGCTTATTTAACTGTGCTCCTATGAATTAATGATGTCTTTTTCTTGAGTTACCACAGAGGACTAGAGAACTATGTCCTGTCAGGTAAAACCAACAACACTGGGAGAGCCCTGGATATTTTGAGAATATCTTGAAATTTCTTGTTTAGCCTCTTTCCAGGAGACAAAAACAAGCACCTTATAGACAAGTCCTTTTTATGTGTGAAAAAGCAATATTCCATTAATCCACACAGATAATGATAGTATACCCACAGAAAGTTCCTCAGAACAAGTCAGGCCTTGTGATAAAAGAATCTTCAAAGTTCTCACTAGGGATTTGGCAATAGTCCGTGAGAAGCCAAATTGTCCCCAAAAACATTTTAAGGATGTCAGTATAAAGTTGAAGAGATGAACCAGGTCAGTCAATTATGGAACCAAAGACTAAGGACACTTGTATGGTGGTTTTTTTTTTTTTTCCAAAACAACATAATCAGTCCAGCACTAGAGGAGAACCAGAAAAAAGAAGCAGAAAATTTTTTTTTAAGAATTTCTTCATAAAAAACTATCTTTAATACCATTTTACAAGGGACACTTATAAAACTACTGTCCATCATTTCATAATTTGGAAGTCCATTTGCACGTTAACCAATCTTTGACCTCACTTGGTGTCCTCATTATATATGTACAACAACTAAAAACCTACAGTGGAGTAGGGGAAGGACAGGAGCCTATTGATTAGGATAGGGACTGAAAATGCAAATCTATTGTGGGGTCCCCAACTTAAGGATCTGAAACCTGGAAGAGCTAAGCTCACTATTGGCTAAAATGACACTTCTTCCTGTTCCCATGAATGCAAGGGTCACACTTTCTTTTTATAGGCAGTAAGGTTTGGCCCTCATTCACATTCAAGAGTTGCCTACCAGAAACTCCAAGGTCAGCCTCTGAGTGGGGCCTCTTTGCAGCAAGGGATGGTGTTCTAACATGAGCTGTTTTCTTAGACTTGGTAGCTGCACGTTGAGGTTGGCAAAGACAACCTGCCCCAGGATATAGGTGCTGGGATGCTGGACAGGAGCACTGAACTCCATGGTGATGAATGCTGGAGGCAGGGAGAGTTCTATTAGAAAGACCCCAAGGCAGTAGACTCTGTTGAGATTTCAAGAGGAAGGCAAGGCTGGGGAATTCTTCCTCCTCCTGAAATTCTTCATCATTGTACCCTTCTCCAACCACAGAAGCTTTACTCATAGGAGTTTCTATGAACATTGAGGCATTTCTGGTTCCTAATCTAGGGGAAGTGTGACATGACCCTGGAGAGGAGAGGTTGACTTCCAGACTTAAGTTTCTGTGACTTTTGACTCTGTTTTAAGAGAGCATGTTCTTTTGACTTGGACCAGTTACTGGATCCTCTATCATCTTTTGGCATACCAGCTACATTACAATATTTTGTGCTTGTTTACTTATTGATCGATAGATGTAGGTTGTGGTTGTCTCTGCTCCCTGTATCTTGACTGGCCTGAAATTCTGTGAGTGCCTCCACACTCTCTTCCCCTTTCAACTTCAACAGTCACTTTTCCATGAGCTAAAGGAAGGAAAACGACAGTTACTGGCTCTGTACAAGTTTGAAAACAGGTGGCAGAGTAAGCGGTGGAGCCCATGGCATTGGGAGAGCATTCAGGGAAGTCAGTCACATGACTGTGATTTCAGTAACCCATACTGCATCTCATCCTGCTCATCCTTTTGTGCTGTATTCCTAATCTTTGATTCCTTACCACTCTTCTTCTCAACCTCTCCTTAGACTCCTACCTCCTGATTCTATAACTGCTCCCATAACTTCTGGAAGCTCTTCTTCCCCAGATGCAGTACTAGTCAAGACATTGTATGGTTGGAAGAAATCCTGCAGATTTCATGTTCTGAATTTCCGTTCCTCCTCTGGTGTACCTGAGAGAGGGTGAGTCCTTCCTCTTGCTCCAGCTCCTAAATTAAGGACAAGGGATCTGTCTGTGATTCTGGTGATAGTAACATTTCCAGGAATTGAGGATGAATAACTGGTTCCACCTGATAATGGAAAGGAAGTTGTGTGAACATCCTTGGCAAAGAGAGTAACCAATGATCTAGAACAGTGTAGGGAAATTTTTTTCTGCCAAAATTTATAACATCATTCATGAGACATGCAAAGTAATGAGCCTGCTGTATTTGGTTAAACATTTAATTAACTCACCCTTAATGTGATGGCTGGGACTGTGGTTGCCTTGGTAGGGCCAGACCAAATGATTCCAGATGTTTCCCACCCCTGATCTAGAGGATCCAGAAATTTGCACCCAGTGTTGTATTATAAGGAATACTGGTGGGGGAATGGTTAAAGGTCTCAGCTGCTAACCAAAAGATTGAAGGTTCAAATCCACCAACTTCCCTGTGAGAGGAAGGTATGACAACCTGCTTCCCTAAAGATTCACAGTTTTGGAAACTGTACTTTTACTCTATTCTAGTTGCTCCTTGGAAACACTACACAGGATCACAGGATTGCTATGAGTCGGAACCAACTCCATGGCACTTAACAACAACAACAACAAATCATGTATGAGTCAAAATTGTCTTGACAGAAGTGGTTTGGGCTGGTTGCACTAGAACTGAAAACCCCAAACTAAACACGCACACTCACACAAACACAGAGTGATTGAGAGAATAGAACATGAACGTTGATCAGAGTTTAAGTCATCAAACTTCATTTCAGTCACCTCGGTCATACACCCACTATATAGTTGTGAGTTCTAAACTTTTGGAACCTATAGACACCTGATTTCCAGGTCCTGCCCACCTTGGTTACAAAGGCTTCCTGTGAACACAGTTTGTCAATGTAGTTCAGGAGTCCTGGGTCTGTGTATATGTCATGCTCTTCCTGCTGGTGCTCATTATCTTCTGTCTGCCTTGCATTTGGCTCTCCATTGGCTGAATATGCAAGTCCCAGTAGATCTTCCATGATTTCAGCATACTCTTTCATGGCTTCAGGAGGGATCTTCTTGGGTGCTTTGAGTTCCCAAGTGCACTTGGATCTGTGTTGCTGCTTCTTGTGGGGTAGTGTTTTGGCACTTCCCGTCTTTGGATTGAACATTGGAGGAAGGTTGGAATTAAGGAGGGGAATGTAGCAACAAACTAGCTGTTTGCACCCAACCACATGTTGTAAAGATACTGTTTTGGAGACACTGACATGGTTCCTGGTGAGTTGGGCCATCCTGAACCCACAAATAATGTGAGAGGAAAAGATGTAAGAAGTAGAAGGCTTAGGAGAATCATTGTGTGAGGAAGATTGGAGCTACTGCTTATCTAAGAAATCCTCTCATCCAGATACTCTTTTGAGGATGATTAGATATTGGATCCCAACTTCGGTAATCCATGTGAAACAGCAGTTATTAAACCTGACCAGTTTACTGCTTAGTATGTAATGAAGGATAGCTGAGACCCCAGTCTCTTCATATTGTAATAGCCATGGGTCCCTCTGAAAAGGAAAGTACCAGATGTGAAGACAGTAGAATTCCCTAAGCATAAGCAGTGTTTACAAACTTCCTTTGATCTTTGATCCTTAGCTCCTGTTACAACTTGGGTAGCCATACCTGGGTGCTGCCCAGTCACAGTATCTGAAGTCTTGGGAGGATGGAATTTCTGTGGAACTGGAGGAGGAAGGCGTGCTGATCCATTCCTCTGCTGCAACTTCTGAATCTGCATCTCCTCCTCTGCCTCAAACTCCATGAACCTAACAAGGGTGAGGGAAGCACAGACCAGGCTGTGATGAAGGCAGCACCCACCAGGAGCACTCATATCAGCAGCTGTTGATTGCAGAGAAGCGGGGTAAGATGTGCCTTCAATGGCCTGTCCGGGTCCTAAATTTGTCCATTTCCCTGGTAGGCGTTGCTCTCAGTAACCTAAGCCAGTCTTGAGGGGTACTTTACAGTGTCACTTCCTGATCCCTTCACCTGCAGCACAACTTAGGTCATAAAGGAAATGAGTTAAGTCTTCTTGGAAGTTTCTTTAGACAGAGCTATAGTTCTTACTTCTTTACCATACCCTTAATACCTGATGGTATACAACACTGACACTAACTTGTTGAATTCAATCAAGATTATGTTGCACATGGCAGGACCTCACTGGTGAGTCCCCTCCTCTAAACCTACTCTGTATTTCCCTGAAACACATGCAAACGATCTGACAGTCTGAACCTGGGAGATGGGACGCAGTTGCCTACCCATAACACCAGGACCAGTTCTTAGATCCCGTCCTAGCCTAAAACTTTGAAACCCTGAACTATAAACCAGGAAAAGTGGTCCAGAAGATATTAGAAACAAAATGGAAGCAAACATTTCAGGATATTTTTCAGATTTCTCTCATCAGTTTCTTTGTCTTTCTTTCTTTTGTTTTAGTAATACGTCAGGAAAGGCATTAAGGGTTAGAAACATGTCCACAGGGTGCCAGAGGTACTCCTTTCCCATGAACAATACTTTCTAGCTTTGGTCCGTTCTTAGATAGTAGTAAACAACTTTGTGCCATTTTTCATAGGGAGAGATTTCCCCAAATTATCTGTCACTTACTCGGACAATGGGGCAGTAGGATCAGACTGATATAGTATATCCCTTCACTGTAGATTCCCAACAACATGGAATTTTTGTCTAATGGAACCTGTGTTGTTTATCCTCAACCCCATATTGACCTCAATATCAAAGCACTCACATATCCCAAATCCCAAAAGTGGTGAACTTCTAGAAGAAAGTAAGACAGAAAACTGAAAACAGTGAATATGGTGGTAGAAATTGTCTGAGGGTCGACGGATCCTCATGGATCTTGGTGACTCTATTCAAGTGTATACTTCCTCATCACATCTCCTCCCAATTGCATCAACATAGCCACACAGCAGCCACTCTTAATCCACCCCCATCACATCACCCACTCAAGCCCCACAAGGCCAGGATCCCATTTACTCACTTTCCTGCCATCTCGTAGTAGATCATCCGGTCAAAGTTGCTTTTGCCCTGCCATTCCTTCACGGACCACCACAGTCCCTCCTCCAGCGTCATGGAAGGCTTCAGTTGAGCCAGAGATCGCATGACTGGGCTAAAATCCCATGCACATCAGTCAGTTTCTACCAGTACATTTTGCATCCCTATCTTGACACCCTAGCCCTTCATTACATCTTTCTTTCTATTTGTTCATATTCAGTCCCCTTTCCAGTGTGTACTCTTAGATTTCATTTTTTTTTTTTGTTTCCAGCATACTACTTACAAAGCACCAGAAATATACTGAGATGTGCTCCCGGGAGGGACGGTCTAAAGAAAGGATGCCCTTGAGT